AATAGATAACCCTTACCAAGCTGCCATTCAAGATACTTAACAACTTCCTGGACGAAGCATGGGCTATCATACTGCCTATAGTATTTGTCAGGATTTTGGGGAACTCTGCTATCAGATTTTAGCACTTGAATTGCTGGATCGTGGGGTGGTCTGAGAGAGGGACCAAATTGGGGTGGGGGGTGGGGGTTAGATGCAGGATCTTGGCAAACAGCTTAGAGCTCTTTCTATTTCTTTAAAATAGTTTCCACAGTAGAAATTCTTTAATTGCCCTCCAATGAAGGCTTGTCTTGGGTTTGTTTCTGTATTTATGCAAAGCAGCCAAATTTCTCACATGGGTGAGTGTTCCATCCTTGAATTATTTTGGATATTGTACAGCCTTGTTCTACAGAGATAATGTCCATGAAAAAGCTGAGGAGCCAGGGACTGTGGCTCAGGACTGTAATCCTAGTGCTTGGAAACTGAGACTGGAGGATTACAGTGAGCTTGAGGTCAGCCTGAACATGACCTAGAATGGGTGGTGGTGGTGGTGGTGGTGGGTGGTGAGAATTATACATGTCAATATTTAATGGTTATGTACCTTACCTTATAAATTTGGGTGAGTATATGTCTATATATCCACTATTATCACATATATATATATATATATATATATATATATATATATATATATATAAATGTAGAACATAGTGGTTTTGCTTTATTGAATAATTTTAAGACTTAGAAAATAATTTTCAATATTAATTGAGCTCAAAATAGAAATTCAATAGTGAGTCCCAGGTCTAAAAACAAACAACAAAAGCTGTGGGATCAAATCATCCTTCCAATTTACCAGCCAGTCCTCAGTCTATGGTGTCCCATACATATGCGTGCAACTGTTCCATTAGCTCAGGTGGCAACAGGATTTGAAAAACTGAGAACAAGGAAAGTCAGAAGGGCCATATCTGTGCAAACCAGTAGACTCGGGCAGCTACAACAGACTTCCAGAAGGCGCATGGAGAGACTTCTCCCTACTCTGCCCACCTAGGACTATGTTGCTGTATGAAAAGAAGGGGGATTCTGTCTACCACCATGACAATTCATATAAACATTTATTTCAAGCATGTGGAAACCTCAGTGGGGACAAAGGGACTGCTGATTTATACTTGATGATTATAAACTCATGAGGAAAACTGTATAGTCACTGTTAGGAAGATTTCTCTGTCAAATGAATAAAGTAAGTATTTTATTCACAAACACTATAATGAATGCATATTGCAGATGCCAGAAAGGCAGCTGCCTGGAAAAATAACATGGACTGAAGCTCGGGTCGAGGAACTTAGAAATGGCATGGGTAGTGGAGTTGAATTATTTTCTTCCATTAGAAATGTGGCACACGAAGATATATAAATAATTCTTTTAAATCTGAAAAAAACTACAGAAACACCACAAAATTGATAATTGCCATTACGTAGGTAGATCTTGAAGGGCATAAATGTTAAGGTTGGTGTGAACTGACAGAGTCAAGTGGCCTAGAATGAGACTATCAGCCACACTCTGGGATACAAAAATGTTTCTCTGTTGGGATCAGCTTGTCTTTATGTATATATGAACATTTAATTCGGCAATTAGAACATATTACTCATAGATTATTAAAACTGAACATTCTAACAGCTGTTAACAATGTTCCATATTTTAAAAATGAAAACGTTCTGTATGCATTAAGTCCACAGATATTTACTATTTGAATCTCTGGAAAAGTAATAAATTGGTTAATAAATAACATGTGATGGAACATTAAGCTATGCTCTGGTTCACATGGAACCTTACTGTACCTTTGTTTTCTTTTAAACTCAAGTACTGACAATAAAGAGCAGCATTACATGTCTGTTCCCTTTATATTAGATGTCTGATATTATACCTCTGGTGCACAGGGACATATTCTGCCTTGTCTTTAGTCCTAGTTTGCTTTCCTGTTGCTCTGAGGAAACACAGAGCAATGCAATTTGAGAGGTAAAGTGTAGCGGGATATTTTCTTGCTACATAGTACTGCAGTGGAGCTCGTGAGTGGGCAGTAGAAGAGGTAGGTGGAGTGAAGAGTTGGGAGGAAAAGAAGGGGGAAGAGAAAGAGGAGGGAGAGAGCTAGCAACCATGGAGGAAGACAGAAGGGTCGAAAGCAGTCCTGGGTAACAACTTATACCTAAAGTTTATATATTGGGTAACAATTCTAATTGTGTGAGCATCTTGTTAATTGAGCATTTCCAAATATATAAATCTATTGGATAATCTTTAAGTCTACCGGGTACAACGAGCATGGCAGATATTTTCAGTGACTCAGCTGATGGGGGCAGTGTGGTAGATTGGCAGAGCCAGCAGCTCATGGGTGCCAGGGCCGGAGCTTCTAGCTAGCTGGAGCCGAGGTCTGAGAGAGAACAGCAGGAACATAGTGGCTGCCTGGGAGCAAGCCAGTATGAGCACCGTTTTTTTTTTTTTTTTAAATATCTCCCGTTTCAGTAAAGGGTTTATTTAGTTTACAATTTACAGTCCTTTGTTGAGGGAAAGCAAGACAGGAATTCAAGGCAGGAGCCAATCTGAAAACATGGAAGGATTTTAGGATATAGCTTGACCACAGCTTTCAGGGAATGGCATTTCCTTCCCTAAGAATATATGCAGTTGTAACAAATTTATGAAAGGGACATGGAAACATCTTCAGGTGACATTTTTCAAGAAGGGAGTCTGGAGTGCCAGCAAATGTGGGAAGGGACACAGAAATGACTGCAGTCTTCCTCAATTTCTAGAGAATAATTAGGTTAAATGATGGTCCCGGATGTTTTTCTGAAGTAAAACAGCATAGTTGTGCTTTTTATAACCTCGAACATGCTGACCTGTGAATAATGCCTCTGGTCTCAGTGATGAAATGCAAACCTGTCCTTGTTATCAAAGGAGCTGTAACAACATAAATTAGCCCTTGCTCCAGTTGGCGCTCTGTGCTCTCCTGCTGTGAGTCCTTTGGTCTCCCATTTCACTCCTTCAGCATCAATCAGGTGACCTGATTTGGTCACATCTCTCATGTATTCTCCGAGGTAAGTGCTAAGTCCCCAGACAGCTCCCCTGTGTGCTAACATACAAGCCTGTGGAAATCATGTTACCTTAGTTGTTGTTTCCCTTGATCCAAACCCTACACATCAACACTATGTGAGCACAAAACTGCTTCTGTATGCCTCTCAAGGGCCTGCATTGGGTTGGCATTCCATGAGTACCAGTCCCAGCCAGGGATATTCTCAGGAGTGTCTATTTGACTGAAGAAGAGAGGAGAACTTCTGTCATCTCCAGCTTCCTTTCAAAAAGGAAGGTCTCTCAGTCAAAAGTCCCCCAGTGTCTGCCTTCTTTCTCTAAGCTCAGAGTTAGTCCCTGAACAGCAGGCTGAGTCATGATTGTTGTCATCATCCCATCACCCCCTACCCTACCCCTCTCCTGTCAGTTTTTCCTTGCTGAGACAAATACCTGAGAGAATTAGTGAGAAGAGGGAAGGTTTATTTGGATGATGGTCTCAGAAGTTAGAACCATGATTTGTTGGTCCTGTATTCTCTGGGACTGTGGCAGCATTGGAGCATGCTGAGGGCAGTACTCAGGTCATGGAAGCTAGGAAGACAAGAATGAGGCAACAAATGGCTTGAGACAAGTATCATCTCCAAGGAGAATTCAGTGACCTACTTCATTCCCGGTTACCATCACTTTTCAGTGAAGCTGTCAAATTAAGAACTTGTCAGCAGACTGAACCCTCAGAGCCCACCCCCCAGACCTAATTACCTCTGAATGATTAAATTCACAAGTTTGGGTTCAAGCCTCCAGTGTGGGAGCCTTCGGGAAACATTCCATATTCAAACCAGATCACTCCATGCCATTCGACGCCTGCTATATTCACCCAGTGAGAGCAGAAGCCTTGGAAGTGTGACAGTCCCAGTGAGACTATTTTTTCAGCATCCCTCCAATGTGCACCATCAGCCCCAGATACCAACCTGGGAATGATGGTTCCAACTAAAGACTACATCATGTTGTCCCTCCTTTCCACAACACTGCACCCATTTCCTATTTCAGGGGACTTAGCATTAACAAACAAATCGCCTTATGATCTAGAGTGTGGCTGCCTAGTTGCTGAGAATTGCACATTTGCAGGGGAGACTACAGAGGAAATCTGACTGAGATCCTTAGATACACCTAAGTGCAACAGGTATCAGGCTTTCTAAGCTGCACACCGCACCTCCCTTTGGCTACCTAGTACAAGGACTTAAAATTGGAGATCAGAATGTGATTTATGAAAGGTTTGTGAAACCAAATGCCAAATAGTTTCTCTCCCTTTCTTCTTCAGGAAACTGTGGGGCAATTTAGCAAAGGACAATATGGAACAAGTGAATGAATCATGACAACCCCAAGGTCTCTATGATGCCCTCCTCTGTCATTAAAAAAAAAATTAGAGCATACCTGAGTTTGTATCATTTCTGAATTGGATGAATCTTTTTAACAGAAATTCCATTGCACACCAAGGCTGGAAATTCCTGGGATTCTTGTAGTGCTGGATCTGCTGCATGGTGCTCTCAATTATTTGTACAGATGATAATCTAGTCAACAGCCCTTGGAAAGCCTCTTTGCTTTCCTTTTCCAGTCTCTGTCTTTAGATTAAGTTTAGTAGACTGAAGGGATGAGTCCAAAGTTAGGAAAATTTCCTGCTCTTCCAGTTCAGTTCCCAGCACCCATAGTAGGTGGCTCATAACCACTTACTAGTTCAGCTCCAGGGAATCTGATGGCCTTTCTGGCCTCTGGGGATACCCATATACTTGTGGACAGACAGGTACACACACACACACACACACACACACACACACACACCATAAATACATACTAAAATAAATCTTTTAAAAAATAGTAATTTGTCCTCAGTTATAAAGGCATGGTAGTATTCCAGTGTGTGTGTGTGTGTGTGTGTGTGTGTGTGTGTGTATGTGTGTGTGT